CCGGATATCCATATGCACAAAAATGAAATTGAACCTCACACCATATAGAAAAATTAGCTCAGAATGGAGCAAAGATCTACACGTAAGAGCTAAAGCTATAAAACTCTTAGAAGAAAATATAGGTGTAAATCTTCATGACCTTGAATTAGGCAACAGATGCTTAGATATGACACAAAAAATACAAGCAATAAAAGACACAATAGATAAATTTCACTTCACCAAAATTCACAACTTTTGTGAATCTAAGAAAAACTCTTATCAAAGTGAAAATACAACGCACAGAAAGGGAGAAATGACTTTGCAATCATATATCTGATAAGGGTTGAGTATCCAGAGTGTATAAAGAAATCTTCTAACTCAGCAACAAAAGAAAAACAATTGAAAAATGGGCAAAAGACTTGAACAGACATCCCTCCAAAGGAGATATAAAAGTGACAATCACATGAAAAGATGCTCAACACTGTTAATCATTAGAGGGAAATGCAAATCAAAACCACAATAAGATGCCACTTCACAGCCAGTAGGATGGCTATAACAAAAAATAAAAAGGGAAAATAACAAATGCTGACAAGAGTCTGGAGAACTGTAACCCCCATGCATTGCTTGCGGGATTGCAAAATGGTGGAGCCACTGTGGAAAACAGACTGGCTGTCCTTAAAAAGTCAAACTTAGAGTTATCACGTGACCAAGAAATTCCACTGTTGGGCATATACCGAAAAGAATTGAAAACAGGTCTTCCAACAAAAACTTGACATGAATGTGCATAACAGCACTATTCACAATAGCCAAAAGGTAGAAATAACCATGATACCTATCAACCAATGAATGGGTGAGCAAAATGTAGTATTATATGGCCTTAAAAAGAATGAATTACATGCTACAACATGGAGGAGACTTGAAAATGTGCTAAGTGAAATAAGCCAGACACAGAAGGCAAGATATATTGTATGATTCCGTTTATGTGAAATCTCCAGAATAGGGAAAGCCATAAGGACAGAAAGCAGATTAGTGAATACCAGGGATTGGGGGCTGGGGAACCAGAGACTGACTGCTTTGGGGTTTCCTTTTGGGGTGATTCATATGTTCTGGAACTAGATAGTGGGGAGGGTCACACAACGTTGTCAATGCACTAAATGCCACTGAACTGTACATTTTTTAAAATTGTGAATTTTATGTTAAATGGATTTTATCTCAATTTCTAAAAAAACTGACAACACCAAGTGCAAGTGAGGATGCAGAGCAACTGGCCCTATTACACATTGCTCGTGGGCGTGGAAAAAGATACAGCCGCTTTGGAAAATTGGTAGTTTCTTGTAAACATACATTTACCACGTGATCAATCAAATCCTACTCCTAGGTATTTATCCAAGTGGAATGAAAACTTATGTAAAACAAAAACTTGTCTGTAAACGTTTACCCCAGCTTTATTCATCATTGCCCCAAACTGGGAACAGCCCAAATGTTCCTCAGTTGGTGAATGGCTAAACAAACTGTGAGACAGTCATAAATGCAATCCCACTCAGCAACAGAAAGGAACAAGCTATTGATAAACGGGATGACTTAGATGAATGGCAAAGGCATTATGTGAACTAAAAAAGTCAGACTCAAAAGGTTCTGTACTTGGAACATTGTCCATCTATAAAAAGGAACAAACTATGATACACCCAACAGTCTGGATGGACATCCAGAGAATCCTGCTGAGTGAAAAAGCCAGTCCTGAAATGTTACACACTGTATGGTTCCATCTATGGAACAATCTTGAAATGACAGCATTAGAACAATCTTGAAATGACAAAACTAGAAACAAAGATCAAATTAGTAGTTGCCAAGGGGTCAGGAGGTGCTTGGGAGGGAAGGAAGTGATCATGGCTATAAAAGGGTGATGTGAGGGATCTTCTTGGTGACGGAATGTTCTCTACGTTGACTGTGTCAATGTCAGTATCTTGGTTGACATTTTACTATAGTTTTGTAAGGCATGACCATTGGGAGGAACTGAGTGAAGTGTCCATGGGACCCCTCTGTAGTATTTCTTACAACTGCCAGTGAATCTACAATTATCTAAAAATTAAAAGCTTAATTCATAAAAAGATTACATACTGCATCATTCCATTTACATGATATTTTGGAAAAGGCAAAACTATAGGGTCAGAAAGAGATCAGTGGTTTCCACGGTTGGGGTGCAGAAAGGGCTGACTACAAAGGGGCACCGGGACATTTCAGAGGATGGAAATGTTCTGCCTTGATTGTGGTGGTCATTACACGACTCTATGATTTTATGAAAATTTATACAACTGCTATATCTGCTGTAAAAAAAGAGAATTTTACTGCATAAGTTAAAACACAATAAAAATAGAAAAACATTGATATATGACATATTGCAGCCTGTTTAAAAAAAATCTTTATTATGTCATTACAGCTGTCAAAAATATCATATTGAATGACTTTAATACTCCCTGTCGTGGTGTACCATAGTTCATTTTACCTTTCCTTATTGTTGGACATTGAGGTTGTTTCTACTTTTTCCTCATGAACACATTTCTAATATTTAGCTAAAGTTCTCATTCTTCCCTCAAGATAAATTTCTAGGAGTGGAATTACTTGATTAAAAGGGACATATATTTTTATGAATCTTGATACATGGTGTTATTTGTTCCAGAAATTCAGTCTCCCACTGACAGTCTACGAGAGTGCCCACTCCTCGCGTCAACTCTCTGGTTCTGTCACTTTACATTCACTTGTCAATTCCATAGATCTTGGTACCTGGTTGCTGCGCGGACAGCCCTCCCTCTGCCATTCCAATCTGGCCTCAAAAAATCCAGAGCCACTTTTCCGGGACACAAGTCCGAGTTTGAGAGTCCCCTACTTAAATCCCTTAAAGACGACAGGAAAAAGAACATGGAGCATAAGACCCCCTATGGTCGGCCACCACCCCATCCTTACCACCCTCCCCCAACTCGCTGTGTGCTTGGACACCTCACTCCTCTTAGCCTGCACACTTCCTCTGCTTGGGGCGCCCCCATCACTGGTCAGCGCCCCTCCGTCTGTAAGACCAGCTTAGGCATTTCCTTCCTTCCCACCTTACTGCTCCTAAAATGTGCCATGGGTCTGTCCTCATGCCTGGACATGATCCCCTGTGTTCAGGCCCAGCCTCTCCCCATCCCCTGGCCCTGAGGGGCCCGTCAGTGAGAGGACGTCCTTGAGGGAGACCAGCGCCTTGAAGATCACTCCTTCTCTTGGATCACTTTGTTAAAATACAGGACACATTGATGCAGTCACAGCTTCTCTTAACTGTCCAGAAAAAATCCTGGCTCCTCTCTCTCCTGTTTCTTCCACTTGATGAATCTGTCCACATATCTGTCCCCTCTGCCTGGGACACTGCCACACCCTCCCTGAGGTCTCTCTAGTTCTGGATTCCCACCCCCACCCACCCAAGTCTGGTCATGTCCTTACCTTTCAAACATCACCCAGGACTCCCCAGATGAAGTCTGCCCTCCAGGGATGGGTCCTCCAGGTCTGGGGCTGGCCACCTGTCCAGCATCCTCTCAGACCACGTTGGCCCCAGGACCCACCCACTACAGGCCTGCAGACCCCTGGGAGCTTCCTGAGCCCTCCATGCCTGTATCACCTTGCCCAGGTGGATCCCCCTACCTGTACTCCATGCCCAGTGGGGCCTCCTCTGCCCTTCCCTGTCTGTGCCTCTGTCCTGCAGACATCACCCTGTGTGTGGTTGCCACTTCACCCTCTCCTGTCGGACCTTAACTTGAGGCCAAATTTCATTCCCCTGGGATCCAAACGCCAGCACAGGCCCTGATCCTGATGGGGGCTCTATCTCTCCTCGTCTTTTCCTGGGCCCTGCCCTTGCTCAGCAGTCCCTGTAGGATGTCGAGATGCTGTCCTGACCTGACACCCACAGCTGCTGACCCACCCTCCATGACTGGATTGCTGGTGTAGCAGAGGATCAGTTCATTCCATTCCAGCCTTTCACCATGGTGACCCCAGCCTCCCTGGGGCGAGTGTCAAGCTGCAAGGCCCTCATCCAATCAGGACCCCTCACTTTGCAGAGGGGGAAACTGAGGCCTGGAGAGGCGGACTTGTTAGCCCAATCAGTTTAGGAGATGAGGATGGGGACAGCTGGAGGCCATCGAGCTTGGGCGTTGGGGTCTGCACCAGCTGTGTGACCTTGGGCCGGTCACCTCACATCTCTGGGCCTCTATCCCTCTCTGTAAATTGAGGATGACAGCAGGACCTGCCTTGTGGGGCCACTGGGAGGGGGGCTTGCCCCTAAAATGATTAGTGCCCATGATGAACATGCTCACTCAGTATCATTAGTGGACCCAGATGTTTGGCATCTTGTCCAGGGATTTCCCACCACATGCAGAGAGGAGGGGGCTGGGGTCACCCAGCAAGGTGGGGTGGACCGTGGCCCCCCAAAGACCCTCACCTGGGCCTTTCCCACGGAGGGGCCTTCACCCCGGGTGGGCTCAGGTTCCTAGGGGGCCAGTCACAGGAGGCGGCCCTGGCTGAGGGTACTTGGCTGAGCGTCCAGTGACTTGGGGACACTAGGAAGGGTCCCCCCGCGCCCTGGTGCTCCAGGGAGTGGCTCCTGCCTGTGGGGGGAGGGGTGAGGCGGTGCCTCATCAGCTAAGAGATGGAGGCCCTGGCACCCGCCACCCAGGCAGACGGCCCGAACCCCCCTCTGCCCTGCCCAGAGGACCAGGGAGGCCAGGGAGGCACTAGTACTGGGTGCCAAATTTAAGGGGTGCCAAAAACTCAGTAATTAAGATAAGTAATATTTTAATACAATATTAAAAAAATAAAAATCAATGCAAACAAATCCACACTGGACAAAATGTCGACACTTTAAATAAAGCCAGTGTCTGCCCAGCCCTCTCCTCTTGGCTCATTCTCCCTTCTCTCCCTTCTCCTCTCACTGTGGCTCTCTGTCCCCCACTCCCAATCCAGACTGACCCCCCCACCCCGGACATGGCTCAGCCCCTTACCTGTCCCACAGCCTCCAAGGGCTGCTTCCTGCTGGGGCTCCAGGGCCCGGGGTCTTGCCCCGTGGTGCGGCTGTTGGGGGCAGCAGGCCATGGGTGCCCACGGCCAGTCCCAGCAGTATCAGCGGCCAGAGCTGCCTGGGGCCAGGGCTCTGCCCCCAGGGGGCCTCATGACCCATCAGGCCTGTGCTGGGCCTCATCCACCCTCAGGGTCAAAGGACCTGCTGGCCTGGGCTCCCTGGAGAGGGAGTCGGCAGGTGCCCCCGGTCCCTCTTGCTGGCAGCAGCTGTCACAATGCACCCTGGCCTGTGTGTCCCTGTCCTCTGCCTGGGCCTTCTCAGGTCCCTGCCCCAGTGCCCAGCCCCCTGCAGAGCCCATGGCCATTACCCCTGGGGCTCTCTCCCAGGGGGATATCTGCCAACTGCCCTGCTGTGGTTGGGATCCAGGGCTCAACCGTCTTCCACCACAGCTGTCAGCCTGGCCCCCCTGGGGCCCTGGGTGGGGCACACCTGCCCTGCCCTGCTTTCCCCAGGGCCCCCTGGGTCCTGGAGCATCTCTCTCTGGAGGGGCCATGGAGGGCAGCAAGCGGATCAGGAGGTGCCTGAGTTCAGCAGGGTGGGGCTGGGGCTTCTCTTCAAACCAGCCCTGGGGCAGGATGGTGGGTGACAGGAGGAAACAGGGGCAGGTTTAGTAAGAAACCAACATTCAAGTCCTAGAATCATGATACAATTACCCAAATGGTGTTTAACACTCCACGTGCAGGACCTCACAGATCTCATCCATCTCTCTCTCTCTCTCTCTCTCTCACACACACACACACACACACACTCCCTCACAGATTTTATCCAGAGGTCACCATCAGAGCCCAGTGTCTGGCGCACAGCTGCGGCTTCTGCGAGGCCTCTCTTTCCTCTCCAACCGGTGAGCCCGCCCATCTCCCCAGCGTCCAGCTGCATCGTTGGCCCAAGAACCCTGTGCTTTGGTGTGGGGTGGGCACTGAAGGAGGGCAACGAAGAGGGACCTAGCAGCCGCTGGGGTGGCAAGGGCCTGGCTCCGTGCAGGTGCTGCCAGCTGCAATGCTTCTGGTCACCTCCGAGTCTCCAGGCTTCACCTCCTCTGCCCCAGGCGAGTCTGGAAGTGCAGCCGCTTGGCTCACTGTCAGGACTGTGGTGAGGCCGATGTTGGGAGATAACGGATGTTAAAGCGCTTTTTTTCTTTAGTTTTTTTCAATTGTGGTAAAATACACACAAAATAAAATTCGCCATCTTAACCATTTTTAAGTGGACAAGTCAGCAGTATTAAGTACATTCACATTGTTGTACAACCATCACCACTGTCCATCTCCAGAACTTTTTTATCTTCCCAAACTGAAACTCTGTTTACACTAAACGTCAGCTCCCCATTTTCCTCCCTCAGCCCCTGGTACCCACCGTTCTACTGTCTGTCTCTGTGAATTGACGATTCCAGAGACCTCATCTAAGTGCAATCACACAGGACTTGTCTTTTGAAAGTGCTTTTTAAACTGAGAAGTGCTGCACAAGCATAACACACAGGGAAGATGATTGTCATCATATTTGTCACTGATATTATTACCAGCTGGCCCATCTGATGTGGCTTGGGAAAAATCATTAGCCATCAAAACAATGAATGGATCTCTGATGATACTTCAACTGTTGCTTTTCAAATTTTGCATTGCAACTCGGAAAGGGTTTGTGAATCGATTGTGAAATGAATTCAGTCAGTTGCAGCCAGCATTTTGCAACAGTGAAGTAGCCTAGAACAGGCTGGAGAACGGAGAGCATCCCATGCGAGGGAGGGGTGGTGACGGTTCGTGGGATTCTGCTTCAGTTGTCTAAATGCCCACAAGCTGGATAGTGATGGGACATGTATTTCTTACTGGGAGTTTTGATGAAAGAACTTTTGGAAAGTGCCACCCGGGACACACTGGTCCAGTTGTGCATATGAGACAAAGCTTGTCAGATTCACCCTTGCATCTCACGGCTGGCGGACCTGGAGCTCATGTTTAAACTGCTCTTTGCTTTAGGTCCCGCACGTCCCAGGCCACACAGGCCAAGGGCGTCTCGCGGCGGTGCTGTCCCAGTGACTCATCCCCCTTCATGAGGCCGGCCCAGGGTCCCCCAGAGTGAATTTCATGGAAGCCACATGCCCTGGTGGAGTCAGGCCATCCCAGACATCCCATTGGTGTCTGTCCAGTCATGGTCATGGGATGCCATAACAGGCAGACAGACTGACTTCCCAATGTCATATGGAGTTCATGAAGGCCACTGTGAGGTCAGATTCCATGGACTGTCACGACTGCTTGGATCTCTGTGTCCCACACACTCTGGCTGAGCATCCCAGAGGACCAGGTGTTGCATCTTGGAGATCTCACAGTTCACGGGGAGATGGGCAAGGCACTGAAGAGTAACGGGTGTGGGTACCCTAACAGGCATCATGCAGGGCACGGGGCAGCCCCTGGAGGGCCCCTGAGCCAGTCCAGCTTCTCCCCATTTCAGGGCTTGGCCTACTCCTGCCTCTGACATGGGCTCCTTGCACCTTGCGGGGCTGGGGCGGGGTCCGCCCTGGGGGGTCCAGGCTGAAGCTTCTCCCTCCCAGCCACGTCTGTGTGGGGGTGACACTCACCCACTGCCCAGGGTTCAAAAGCCGTGGCACTTCCTGGGGAAGCCCCAGGTCTCGGGGAGAAGGGGGCTGTCCCAAAACTCAGTGGCCCCAGCTGCCCCTCTGTCTCTGCCCTTGTACCTGCCACAGGCTCTAGGCAGACGTCACCACAGACCACATCCTCCTCTGGTGGCCGCAGTCAGAAATCTGGATCTAGCTGGATCCTGTGGACTATTGAGGGATAGGCTGGGCCTTCTCATCTGGAGCATCTGCAGCTCTGGCCTGCCCAGGCCTGTCCCCACCTCCTTCCTGACTGAGATGTGCCCAGGGCTGGACTCAGGAGGGGCCGGAGAGGTCCGTGTCCAGCTGTTCTACTCAGTGGACCCTCTGCTCAGGGTCCCTGGCCCCTCTGCATCCTGTCCCAGCCCTTCTCTCCTTGTGCAGAGGGATGTGTCCCTGTCCAGTCACTTCTGCCCTGCTCCATGTCAGAGGGCACCCCTGACTCCTCCTGGTCAGTCCCCTGTCCACGCTCCATCCCACAGGCCCCAGAAACTCTGCCTACGGCCATCACAGATTCCTGTCTCCCATCTTTCTTCAGGGCAGGCACGTGGGTATCTTCGCCAGGTCCCAGGTGCCAATGTTCTAGAAACTCCTAGGTTTCGGGGCTCACTGGGCTTGCTGCCTGGCTCCCGAGCCCCTCTCTGGGGGTCGGCTCTGCTATTTTGAAATGTTCAAAATATCCTCCAAAGCCCAGACGTCTAAGGTTTCATCTGACATGGAGGTGATGATATGGCCGCCATTGTTTATTTAAGCCAGTGAGGTGGTCAATTTTATGTGTCATCTTGGCTGGGCTACAGTGCCCAGATATTCGGTTGAATATCTTCCTGGGTGCTTTCGGGTGAGATTAACATTTAAATATGTGAATCAACACTAAATGGATGCTTCCAGTAAAGCACATTGCCCTCCCTAGTATGGGTGGGCCTCCTCTAATCAGTTGAAGGCCTGACTAGAACAAAGACTGACTTCCCCTGAGCAATAAGCAGTTCTGCCAGCAGGCTGACTCAAACTGCAACTCTTTCCTGGGTCTCCAGCCTGCAGGCCCACCCTGATTTTGCATTTGCACCTCCACAATCACATGAGCCGGTTGCTGAAAATGAAGCTCTCTTTATATAGGTACATACACATATTCTATTGGTTCCATTTCCCTGGAGAAACCTGCCTCATACAGCTAGCTATGACGTCTTTATAATAACTCTATGGAGTGGTCATTATGATCCCCATTTCCCAATGGAGACACCGAAATTTAGGGGTTTATTTAGGTGCAGTGACTTGCCCAAGGTTACAGAGCTGGGAAGGAGTAGAACCTTCTAGATCTAAGAATGATAAGATTTAGTGGTCTGTGCATATCTTTGGGAATGTGTCATAAGCCACTGAATTTCTCCCCAGAGTAAAGCTCGTTCTCCCGCCCATGTGCAATGTTGCCCGTGATTCCTGGGCCCCACAGCTGAGAATCCTTGTGTGAGACTCGGAAGTTGAAGAATGGAGGGCGCGCCTCCCATCCACTGTGCATCCCTGGCGTCTAGCACTGAGCCTGGTGGGCAGCAGCTGCTCAACAGGGCTCTCGACAGGGTGTGTGAACCAGAGTTACAGTCCAGTCTGTCTGCCTCCTAACCTCTCCCTTCCCCCTGCGCCAGTGGCCCCGGCATGGGAAACTCACAGCCCTTCAAGCCTCCTGTGCTGGAGGGGGCCTGTCTCCAGGGGCCCACAGCCCAGGTCCCAGGTCAGTGAGTCTCCCACTCTAAGGGAAAAGGAACCCCAGGACATCAACTCACCGTGATGTCACCTTCCCCCCATAGAGGCCCTCATGCCCCACATCTAGGTGACAATTAGAACTTCCCTTCCTATGACCTTGTACCCTGCTGGTGTGAGGAACCCTAAAGACCAGCGGTGGCCAGTGAGGTATGCCTTCTGTCCCCAGTGTCCGTGGAGTCACTTTCCATGACTGGAAACATCTTGGGTCTGGACCGAGCTCCGTGATACCGAAGCTGCTCACAGCCACCATGCTGTTGGTCCTCCTGCAGCCCTGGGCTGTGGGGACGCTGCCTCAGCAGAGGCTCAGCAGGGGCAGAGCAGGAGGCCGAGACCCCCTGGGGATCATCATACGGTGAGAACGAGAATCCCCATCACAAGCCCCAGACCTCTCCGGTCCAGCATGGAGGTGGCAGGGGGACCTGTAGGCAGGGACTGTGAGTGCCAGGCCAGAGTGGCAGGCTCATGTGCCATGTCCCCATCTGTCTGTGTCACCGTGAGTCACTGTCAGCTGCTGCCACTGCCATGGTAGGTGGCAGAGTAATTTGTTAGCCTCATCCTCAGCCCTGCTGATGGGCAGTGTGGCCTTGTTCCCCGAGTTGGAGAGCTGGTACCTATTATTATAGACGGCCAGCACAGGGACCTGGCCTGGCTTCTGCTGGGACCAAGATGCATATTTATCCCTGAGGTTATCGCCAGAGCAGGTGATTGTGGCCACCTGTCCCAGGGCTGCCTACACTGAGGTGGCTGCCTCAGCTCATAGGAGCCTACAGGGCCTGTAAGAGAGGAGAGGAGGGGGGCTTCAGGATGAAGGGCCCAAACCCAGGCGATTGCATCCTGAGGCTGTGCCTGGGCTGAGCTCAGGGTTTGGGGCAGGCCCAGCTCAGGGTCCTGTGGGGGCTGAGCCTTCCGGCAGGGCCTGGGGGCAACACCTGTGCGGATAACGAGGAGGGGCAGCAGAAGAGGGGTCCAGGCTATGGTGGAGATGCCCCAGAGCTCTGCCTCCTGAGACCCCACAGCTGAGAAGGGCTCCACCAGGACTCTCACATTGTTGGCTCTAGTCTCGGGGGAATCTGACCCCACCCATGTCCTGATGTGGGCTCCCTAGGCATCTGCGCGGGGCTGGTCTCAAGAGAAGCAGTTTGGGTGGGTTCTTCACTTAGCTTCCCCACACCCCTGCAGGGCTTCTCCCTTGCCCTTCTGCCTCAAGGCAGCTGTGCTCCACCTTTGCGTCTGAGATGTGCTCAGGGCCCCAGAACGTGCATCGCCACCATAATAATGATGACCCTTTGGTTCCAGCTGCCCTGGCCCCGGGGCTGGGTTGAGCACTTCTCCTGAGTGTCGGATTTGGGATCCACGTGCCTGTCCAT